TGATGGTCTTTTGGCTATTGTATTGTTTATTTTTTTTATTTAACTAAGCCACCCATAGCTCAAGTATATTGTAAATATTGATCACTAATTTAGACTATTATTTTGCAGATAGGGGAATTAATTATACAAAGATTAATTTAGAGAAGGAATGCTGTTTAGAAAGTAGGCACCAAAGCTATTAGAAAGGTGAGTAAAACATAAAAGAATGATCCAGTGAAAAGACAAAGGTTTATAAGTCTGAAAGGTGGCTCAATGTTCATATTCTGCATTATGTCATTTGTGTCTTAGAACTGTTTTCGGTGCCATGGTACGCAGTAACTGCCTGGGCATTAGCTGGCACCCAGGGCTTCTACACCACAGGACACCAACCAGTCTTCCCAGCCATCCACTGGAATTCAGCGTTTGTAGGCTTCCAGGATGGTCATGACAACAACATCATCCCTGCCATATTAGTCGCTGCCAACACCTTCTCATCCCACATACTTTTTTCAGGTAGGTACTATCAGTGGATCTGATGAATGGGCAATTGCCTACCTGCTATTGGGCAACAAGGTTTTGGCTGGTGGGGAGACGTCTTTGGAGAAAAGTTAGGGGAAATTGTAGGTGTTGGACATTTTGTGATATCTTGCTTTTGTGTGCTGTTAATCTAATATGTTGTAATCTGAGGAAGCTGGATCCTCTTTGCTGCTCCTCTGGCCATTCCTATGTGAAACTCCCACCATTAGGAGAAAGAAGCCAAAGGCCGAGCAACGTGAAGGGAAGGTGGAGGAGGACGATACGCCTATGATGGAAATGAGACTAAGAGAAAACCCGGATAAGTTCTCTGTAGGTCTGTTACAGCTGGGAGCGAAGTTTCTCTTCATCCAGGGTGTGCAGGTAAACCACCAGTTCTGATCTCATGCTGCAACTGTCAGAGTGGAAGCAATTCCAGGAACTTGTGTCTTATAAATGAGTAATGTCCCTATGCCAAGTTAAACCAATGTATCACATAACCATTAATGCAGGACGGAGGGGTCTGCTTTTACTGAACAGGACACATTATTAAAAAAGGAATTAAGCTTGCTGAAATGCTTTGTGTGAAGGTTGTGTCCTCAATTTGCACAACAAAATGCAGATTTCAATAGAAATTGGCAGTTTTCTAAATTAACCTTGTTACAACCCCCTGGGTGACTCATTGGAGCTGAACTCAATAGGCAGCAATAAACTCAATAGAGCACCTGCTTTGCAAAGACGTCTCATTGAGCTGCATTGGGAAGTCTGTGATTGGACAGCCACAGAAAATCTGGGCGGGGTTAGACGGGGAGGGCTTGCAGAGGTTGCAGACATATAGCTTGTATGGGGATAAAATGCATGTTTTCATTGGGGGTATATCTAAACACCAATTATTTTTTGGTGTCTCTTTAAACCAAACAGGTGGGAGTCATGTAAATCACATTTGGTGCACCTAGATGTGCAGGTTTGTTTGTGCTCTCACCCGCTTCTCTTCTTTCTACAGCTTCTGTCATGTGTTTGTGCAGCCATGATTCTTCGTCGTCATCTCATGGTCTGGAAAGTGTTTGCACCAAAGTAAGTTCACATTACTTGACTGCTCCCTAGCGCCTCTGTGGTAAGCCAAGTGTGTAGTGGTCTGTAAAATATGTTCCTGATAAACTCAATCTTATATGATACATGAATATGGTTTACAGTAGGTTATTTTTATTGAACTTTTTTTCTTCATTTATAATTTAATTTACTCTTGCTTACAAATATTCTATATATTTGATCTTCGTTTTCTCGTATACCTAGGTTCCTTTTTGAGGCTCTGGGATTCACAGTTAGCAGCATTTTCCTTTGCCTTGGCATTGCCCTAGTATTGCGGGTGGACTGTGCTGTCAGCAAGTGGTTCAAAAACCTCATCCTCCACCATCCCAGGTAGCACTAACACAGAGTGAGGTGGTGGAATCAGAGTCCACGAGTGACAGAAGAATGCGAGACTGCCAGGAATTCACGTAGTGCCTGAATACCTTCTCTGTGATTAACGATGGACACCATCCATGGACATTGGAGTTAAAGTGGAAGAAGATGCATCTACAGTTCTTTGTACATTTCCATGTCTGACATCATTCAGATATATATTATGTCTGTGTCTGAGACCTCAGCTGCATTTTTTTATGTCATATTTCAGTGACCTGTGACCATTTGTCACAGACCACAGCCATACAGGACAATATTTCCATGTTTCATACATCTCAGACCTGTGAAGACCTAGTTTAGTATATCTCCAATTTATGATCATTGTCGTGTTACTGTAAAAACTCATAGACCTACTGCCAAGAGAAGGGCTACATTTTACAGAATTTTATTTATAAAAGCATATTTTTTTGGGATATCATGGTCATTAGGCGTGTGAATACATTTTTAACAAATGTGTCTGAACACGGATGGGCAGCTATAAAAGTACTAATCCACAAAAGCTAATGAAGTACCACATGGCCATGGTCCACATTCACCAACTCCTCAAGTTTAAAGAGATTAAATTTATCAGTTCCAAAACTGATATATTAAAAAGAATGCTATTTGGCTTTATTTTTGAAGGGGTTTTTACATTATTTACATGCAAACAATGAGTTCATATTCTCCTGATTTAGCTATTGCAATAGGCCTTTTCTCTGATGAATTTGTTAAAGGGACAGTGGAAGTTAAATGCAAGAGAGTATCTCATCATCTTGTTTTAGTTATTTTTTTTTCTTTTCTTGATGCACCTGCATCTTAACTACAGTATTGTGTCAAGTAAAGAAGAAAATGTTGCTGTGTATTTCCTAAAAAAAATATTCCTTGATGTGATACATTTGTGCAGCTTTCGCCAACATTTCTAAGTAGTTTTCATGTACTTTTAAAAAAAACTACAGCATCCAATATGTGCGAGTAACTTGATTTGTTGAAACAAGTGACTTTTCTGGTCACACTTCTATAGAATGCGAAGAGCTGTGCCATTTATCCTATAACACCTCTTTATGGCAAAGAGATGCCATTTAAAACAGTGTCTTTGGGCCCATGTTACGGAAATGGGGGCATTCAGAGATAAATGTCTTTGTTGAAATTATTTTTATACTCTGGCAGTGCACAAACATACATCATGTATTTATTTAAGTTCTTCTATAGTACTCTTATCCAGAGAGTTTAGTAAATGTGGTAATTGTCAAGTGATCTATAATTAGTAATATTGGAATAAAAGGAATCCCTGGTTTTATCAATTTATAATTTTCTTTTTTTTTTTTTTATTGTAGCATAGCAGGTTATTACACAGTACAGTAAACCAAACAGCATGTATGGCTACATTTTAAGTGAATACATATGTCTGAAGTTATCAGAAGGGTAATGTCAGCTAAAAATGTCATGTACGTTTTAATGCACACTACGTTGTATCTTCTATAGGTTGCACATATTTTATGGTATTGTCAGATTGAAACTATAAACAATTAAATAAGTGTCATTGGATATTAATGAGCTTAAAAAGAAAATAACAGAAACATGAACGCTAAGCTTTGCAAAGGTTAGCTAGAGAATACTATCGATGTATAGGGATGTGGCTGGCTTGTTCTATCCCATGCTGCAGGAAGGCCATAACCGAGAGTCTTACACCTTTCTCCATCACCAGATATGTCAGGCTTTGCTGAGTGTCTTGTTGCTGATAGAGAGTGCATCAACTCCACGCAGCCTCGGCCCAAGGCCTTAATGGGATCCAGTGCTTTATGTCCATGCATCCTCCTGCTCCGAGCAGCAGGATCAGAGGCCCACGGTTCCACCAGGATATGAATCTTCCCCTGGGTATATGGATGGAAATGTGGGGATATTTCTATGCGGGCCACTAGCACAGAAAATTCCCCTGCCGAAATGCCAACCGGGTGGTGAGCATAACATGGCTGCCGCTTCTCACCCTCAGAAGCTTCAGGACTCTACAGTCATCCAGAAATGGAGAGAGCGATTTAATGCTCTCTGTCAAAGGTTTTGGAGGCGAATTTACCACCGACCTTACACCCCTGCCGTGCCAGTTAGGCATACAGAGGGCTCCCCGACTTGTGAAGCTCTATCGGACCTGCTCTCAGACAGAACCGAGGCAGATAATCCATGGCAGCATGGGTGCAGATCAAATAGCATTTTGGACGCTGGAGGTGAAAACTACTGGCACAGAAGACCTCACACAGCACTCCAACATGTAATTTGCCTGGGGCAACGGAACAGCGTTGATCCTCCAACATACTCCAGCTGCTTTCCACTATTAGGGATTGGCTAAAAGGAGATTAATGCAAGGAGGCCAACCACATGCTACACTCACAGGCTGCAGTAGTGTCCTGATATTTTTTATTTTGCTTTTGGCCTTGTAACGGAACTCGCCATACTCCGACCGAGTACCTTCCGTTGATGGACGCTTCCTAGCTTGCGCCGAAGATCACAAGCACCGCACCGGACACCACAACAACCGCAGACTCCACAACCGCCGTATCTTAACTGGAGTCTCGCCGTCTTCTGTCCACTCTGGATCAGCTTCTGTCCTCCAGGAGAGCGTATCAGGAACAAGCTCTTAAAAGAGCTAAGTGATTAAAGCTCAGGGGAGTATGCAGAGCATAGGCCATAGTCGCAGGGGAGGAGGCTGGCAAGCAAGCCTCTCCAGGACCAAGTGGCGAGGGGCACCTCGTCACACATCTCCCCTTTGGGGGGAAGACTAACCAGGCGCCTGACCTTCTGTCGGTCAGTGCCTAAGTTAGTCGATCCACCCACAAAAAGCAAGTGCCAGAGTAGCCCACCCACAACAAATAGTTACTGCACCTGGGTATTCCTCTGGGGTGATGGAGCAACACGCTGTGGAGACTTGGTTGGGGAGACGAGACATCACTTACCCCCTCCTCCTGGTACTTCGGCGATGGTAGTTGGGGATCTGGACAGGCTGTCCGGCATCCCTGTGGGTCAGGTACAGAGACTATGGTCCCATCTGCATCGTCTGGGAGACTGATGTCTCCCCTTGGTAGGATAAGCTGCTGCTGGGGAGAGAGACCGGTTGTCTCCTCTCCCTGGAACTCACTCTGCTGCTGGGGAGTGAGGCCGACTACCTCCACTCCCTGTAGGGAATACTGCCACTGGGGAGAGAGGCCGACTGCCTCCTCTCCCTGCAGAACACACTGTTGCTGGGGAGAGAGACCGGCTGCGAGCTCTCCCTGCAGAACACACTGCTGCTGTGGAGAGGGACCAGTTGTCTCCTCTCCCTGGGACTCACTCTGCCGCTGGGGAGTGAGGCCAATTACCTCCACTCCCCATAGGGAACACTGCCGCTGGGGAGAGAGGCCGGCTGCCTCCTCTCCCTGCAGAACACACTGCTGCTGGGGAGAGAGACCGGATGTCTCCTCACCCTGCCTCTGGGGAGTGAGACCGGCTGTCTCCACTCCCTGTAGGGAACATTGTCGCTGGGGAGAGAGGTCGGCTGCCTCCTCTCCCTGCAGGACACACTGCTGCTTGGGAGAGAGACCGGTTGTCTTCTCTCCCTGGGGCTCACTCTGCCGCTGGGGAGTGAGGCTGGTTACCTCCACTCCCCATAGGGAACACTGCCGCTGGGGAGAGAGGCCGGCTGCCTCCTCTCCCTGCAGAACACACTGCTGCTGGGGAGAGAGACCGGTTGTCTCCTCTCCCTGAAGGATACGCTGTTGTTGGGGCGCAGTGACAGAATACTTCGCCATCTCTGCCCAATGTTCTGCTTCCTTCTGCATCTCCTCGGCCACGTCTCTCCTCAGTTTCTGTATATGTTGCTCCGTTGGGTTGGGTCCATACAAAGCCAACCGCCTCTTCAGTAAAGTGTCAAACCGTACGTGACTGTACCAATACTCCAGGCTTGCTTGGTGTTCCCAGGATGCTGCTCCTCGCACTAGGGAAGCCATCCCACTGCTGCCACCACTGCAACGGAACTCCCCGTACTCCGACCGACTACCTTCCGTTGATGGACTCTTCCTAGCTTGCGCCGAGGACCACAAGCACCGCACTGGACACCACAACCACCGCAGACTCCACAACTGCCGTAGCCAAACTAGAGTCTCGCCGTCTTCGGTCCATCATGGATCAGCTTCTGTCCTCCAGGACCATGTGGGGAAGACCTCTCCTCCAGGAGAGCGTATCAGGAACAAGCTCTTAAAAGAGCGAAGTGATTAAAGCTCAGGGGAGTATGCAGAGCATAGCAATCCCCAGTGTGAGTATAGCTATCCCCTCCAATCACGAGACAAGACTACGTGTTGAGGGTCAAGAAGAACTGTTCCAATACAATTTAAAGGGGCAGCAAGAGTCTTTTAAAATCCAATCTGCTAAAATAGTCTTTAACAGGCAATATCTTCCAGGGTCCATAGTCTTAAAGGGGCATTGTTCACCAAAGTCACAATGTGCCCACAGACCGTTCTTAAGGGGCCATACACAGTCCAATAAAAGTCCATAAGCCCAAATGCTGGTTTAAAAGGGTACAATCTCCAGGACCTTGTCATAGGCCTGTTGCCTTATACCTTATTTAACTGCTAGTACACTCATATTTCCATGTTACTTATAGTAGTGATTTTATTGCAGTGAAATGCAGGGATCCATGTTGGCATATTCTACCATATTAGATGTACCCAGTGACTTTATAGCACTTCTTATATTGCATGTTGCATTTACCTATTGCAGTAATACCCAGCTCCATAGTTCTCTCTGCCCTATCTACACTCACTTTAGCTAAAATGAATAGAGCTGTGTTTTGCTGTTTGTTTTTCCATTTACTGTTTTTTTAAGCGCAGTGCTCATCTTGTTTATATATTTAATATCTCATATTTGTCTGGAGGGCTGTGTTAGCATACAAGTTAAAGGACCACTATAGTGCCAGGAAAACATACTCGTTTTCCTGGTACTATAGTGCCCTGAGGGTGCCCCCAACCTCAGGGTCCCCCTCCCGCCCGGCTCTGGAAGGGGGAAAGGGGTTAAAACGTACCTTTTTCCAGCGCTGGGCGGGGAGCTCTCCTCCTCCGATCCTCCTCTTCTCCTCCCATGCGGCTGAATGCGCACGCGCGGCAAGAGCTGCGCGCGCATTCAGCCGGTCACATAGGAAAGCATTCATAATGCTTTCCTATGGACCCTTGCATGCTCTCACTGTGAAAATCACAGTGAAAAGCACGCAAGCGCCTCTAGTGGCTGTCAATGAGACAGCCACTAGAGGAAATAGGGGAAGGCTTAACCCATTCATAAACATAGCAGTTTCTCTGAAACTGCTATGTTTATGAAAAAATTGGTTAACCCTAGCTGGACCTGGCACCCAGACCACCTCATTAAGCTGAAGTGGTCTGGGTGCCTAGAGTGGTCCTTTTACTTTATGATCTCTTTTCAAACATTTGTGCCTAGCCAGACCACCTACACTTTATTTAGTCACCCAAAATGGATACATAATACTTTTAGCTTGACTAACTGAATATTGTGCAAAACATCCCCTCTAGACATATTGGCTTAGCCTGATGTTTTTTCTTTAAAAATGTATTTATTTATTTTAAATTGTGCATCTTTCTTAAAGACATGCAATTGTTATCTCATGTCTTATGTTGCACTTTCAACAGCTGTTGTGGCTGGGTACGTTCTTATGTAATATTGTGCACAACCAGAATGGAGATTTGGTATCAGATGTTGGTATAGGTGAAAGTTTAGGATCCAGTGATCATCAGTCAGTGTGGTTTAATGGACCACTATTGTGCCCTCAGGGTACCCCTCCCACCAGGCTCTAGGGAGTAGAAGGGGTTAAACTTACCTCTTTCTCCAGCACTGGGCGGGGGACTCTTCTCCCCTCCTCGGCTGAATGCGCATGCGCGGCAGGAGCCGCGCGCGCATTCAGCCAGTCCATAGGAAAGCATTCACAATGCTTTCCTATGGATGCTGGCGTCTTCTCACTGTGAAAATCACAGTGAAAAGCGCGGAAGTGCCTCTAGCGGCTGTCAATGAGACAGCCACTAGAGGCTGGATTAACCCTTTTATAAACATAGCAGTTTCTCTGAAACTGCTATGTTTATAGAAAAAAGGGTTACACCTAGCTGGACATGGCACCCAGACCACTTCATTAAGCTGAAGTGGTCTGGGTGCCTATAGTGGTCCTTTAATATAAGAACAGTGAACTGAGTCACACCACACAAAACCAAAAGTTTTAGACTTTAGAAAAACAGACTTTTCTAAAATTAGAATATGTGTAAAGGAGTTATTGCCAGACTGGAGCAATGGAATTATTTAAAAGTTGCACTGCTGCAGGCAACAGAAAATTGCATTAGGCTTGCCAGTAAAAGCAAAAAAATTCAAGAAACCACTGTGGTACTCCGCAGATGTGGCCAAAATAGTAAAAAACTACATTTTAGCATTTAGTAATTATAAAAAACCCAGAGTGAGGAAGATAGACAGATCTATAAGATTAGGCAGAAGGAGGCTAAGCAAGTTATAAGAGCTTCCAAACCATACACAGAAGAGAAAGTACCACAGTCAGTAAAAAAAGGGGACAAAACATTTTTAGATACATAAATGAGAAAAGGAAAGTAAAACAAGGATTAGTTAGATTAAAAACAAAAGAAGGAAGGTATGTAGAAGAGGATAAAGGTCTAGCTGACTGCCTCAATGAATATTTTTGTTCAGTATTTACAGATGAAAATGAAGGAAAGGGGCCTCAGTTAGGAAAAAGGACAAATTTGTTACATGTGAATTTACAGAGGAAGGGGTTCTATTTCAATTGTCAAAAGTAAAGACATATCAATGGTACCTGATGGAATACACCCAAAGTTATTAAAAGAGCTTAGTGGTGTACTAGCAAAACCATTAACAGATTTGTTTAACCAATCATTGTTAACAGGAGTAGTCCCAGAAGATTGGAAGTTAGCGAATGTTGTTCCCATTCACAAGAAAGGTAATAGGGAGGAGTCGGGCAACTATAGGCCAGTAAGCCTTACTTCAGTAGTGGGGAAAGTAATGGAAACTTTGTTAAAGGATAGGATTGTTGAACATCTAAAATCACATGGATTTCAAGATCAGAGACAACATGGGTTTACTTCAGGGAGATCATGCCAAACTAATCTTATTGATTTTTTTTTAATTGGGTAACTAAAATAATTAATCAGGGTGGTGCAGTAGACATTGCTTACCTAGATTTCAGTAAGGCTTTTGACACTGTTGCACATAGAAGGCTTATCAATAGGGGGCGTGGCCTGGACGCTGAGAGAAATGGCAGCATAAACGGTGAGCTCCCCACAGGCTCAGCTTCCATCCTCGCTGTGCAGCGTGTCAAATACTAAAATGGGGAAATCCCACAGGGTGACACAAGCGGCCAAATCTGCCGACACCCCGAGGGGGTCCCCAGCCCCGTCCATAAGGCACTACCTCACCACACCGGCGGACCTCACCTCACAGGCCTCAAATGACTCCGAGGCCGCAGACCTCACCCAGACGCCTAACTGGGGGGGGAGTCGGCCCACATGAGGAGCCAGCGATGCCCCCGGAATGGATGCGGATGCTCGGCAACATCCCGACGAAGGCGGACTTGAAGGCGGCGAACCAGGCTCTGCAACGCTCCATCACGGAGGAACTGCATGCCATGAGGGAGGACCTGCAAGGCCTCAATCACAGAGTCTCGCAATTGGAGGCAGACTCCGACCACGTGCAGTCAGTACAAACGGCGAACTCAGACGCCATAGCCAAGCAAGCAAACCAGCTCAGACAGATGGCTCACCATATCGAAGACCTCGATAACAGAGGCAGAAGACAAAACATCAGAGTTCGGGGCGTCCCTGAGAGCACCGCAAATCCGGAACCCAACTTTCCCCTGAAGGAGGAGATCTTGCAACGGGCCAGGGAGATGGACCGAATACCGCTGAATGGGGCCTTGATCCAACTGTTCCCAGACCTCTCCCCGGCAACACTGGCCTACCGCAGGGCCATGCGCCCACTCACGAGGATCCTGCAGTCCAACAAGCACCGCTACCGCTGGACCTTCCCGACCGGCTTGCAGATCTTCACGCCGACAGGCCCCTTGCTGGTGCGGGAAGCAGGGGACCTGCAGGAGCTGACCCGGGAGCTGCAACTTCCCCCAATCCAGATGACATAGCCGGATCCACTGGCCTTCTACCTGCCAGCCACTACTGCCCAGCAACCCCAGCAGAGACCGCAGAGACAGCGACGGGGCCGACAACAGGCGATGCGCCCGTCCGGGGCCACTACATAGTTTCCCAGGTACGCTGCCCGGGCCCCACTGGGGACCGGGGCCCTCCCGCACCCCGCCCTGGGGTACCATCTGGCCCCAGGTACTGTCGCCCACTA